CTCTTTTGTCCCCTTTCCACCCCAGCCCCCAACCCTCCTGCTCCTTTTTATTATGTTTTGGCCGCTGTTTGTTTAAGTTAATTTGCGGGGAATAGGAGGAGGACGGGGTTGCGTGGCGGCCGCAGCGCCACAGCAGCGCCCTGCCCTGTGCCCCGCCGTGCCGCCGCCCCATGAGCCGCGCCGGGTCAACGGTTTTGGAAGGGCCCAACCCAACCGGCCCAACCCAACGGTGTGGTGGGCCGCGGCCGCAGCCGTTTCTTCGCCTCGTAAAAGCGCGGCTATGTCCGCCGTCCACCCGTGTGGCTGGTCGGTAAGGCCACCTTGGTTGTATGAAGGTGTGGAGTCTTTTAGGTTTTCGGTTCAGACGAGCGGGGAGCTGCACAGCCCCCCCGGTGCGCGCGCGCGTTGGTGCTCGCCGTGTCCACGTCCACTGGCCAAGGTGTCAAAGCAAATGCCGTAAAGACGTCGACTTTGCCTTTCGATATCGTTGCGATGTCACGTTTCGAAATGGGACACATCGGTGGGATGGGGCGGGTGGGTGGATGGGAGGGCGGATGGAGGACAAGGATAGGGGCGTTCCAACTTGCCGACGAGGGCTAGGCCCCGAGCCGGCCACCCACCACAGACTTTGGTTACTTCAGAAAAGCCGGAAACACAATGTTTACTGGGGCCAAGGAAGGGGGTGGGGGAGCAAGGGCAGAGGATGGAAGTCATTCCGCGTCTGTTTGACATTTAGTTCGCGGCCTTCTCCGCAGGGGCCAAATCAACCTATGCGATCGCACCAAGAAAAAAGAAAGGGAAAGCGTCGGCTCGTCAGAAATGTTACAAGTTGATATTGGACCGACCCCAAGTCCTTTCTGCTCTTTCCCTCTCACCCCAAAAACTGGTTTGGAAGTTTTGAAGTCCTACCTTAGCAATTCTTTGGAATGTTTTCGCAACCCTCATTTCCCGGAATCTGCCCTACTGATTGCAGTCTCAGTTTTCTTACCACACAAAATAGTTTTTACAAAACAGTCACATCTCACCGACACAACAGCACGTAGATCGCGGAGTCTAGTCCGAGCTCTTTACTCCCAGGTCGTCTCAGAGCACTCAAGAGTCAAGCTTCTCTAACCGATATT